GATAATTTGATTCAATGCGCTGCTTTGTGAGCAACGCGTGTGCTGCATCCATGGGTCGACGAGTCCACGGACTGTCGTGCGGCAGCAAGTCTTGTCCGGCTTCTGGCATTTGTGTGAAAGTTTGGGTTTTTGGGGATGTTTTTGTTTTTGTGGCTTGTTGCCTTCGTCGAACCGGTGACTGCGCGTTGGAAGTGGTAACGCGTTCTTGTTCTTGTCATGTCTTGTCGTCGTGGCGGCGGGATGTGGGGTGTGGGTGGGTGTTGTGGTGGTGGCGGCGGCAGTGCACTTGCTCCTCTCTTCATGCAGCTAGACTGATTTTCTTCTATTGGCGATCTTCCGGTTTGTTACGGGCCCCTTGCGGTGTTCTAAAATCAGCAACGACCTAAAGAGTTTGCGGCAAGACTCGGCGCATGACGAACTTGGAAGCCGCATCGGCTGACAAGAACAAAAGCATACCGTCGTTAGGCAGGGGGGTAGGCCGTACTGAAAATGTGTTGCGAACCGCCCAAAGGGAAACCCTAAACTCGTCGCTGAAACCCTTTGCTGGATGCCTGATGTACGATTCATGCGACCTCTTTGAACCTGCATGCCCCAGCTGCCCTCCTGGACTAGAATCTTTGACCTATGCAGCCGTTAGTATGCAAAGGTCGGGGAACATTATCCAAACAGCGCGTACATGCTCATATCAACTCCGCAGGCCTTTGGATCGCAAAAAAAAACCACAGCCCAGCACAAAGACCCTCTAAAGAGGCTGACGAGAAGTGCCGCTTCCGCTTCCGCAGCTTGCAGGTGACATAATCCTCAAGTCCACGGCCTCGTGGGTGTCGACCACGAAAGCCCGGGGTCTGGACTCGAAAGTCAAGGCAGATGTCATGCTAGCGCCAAGCCTGGAGCTAGTGCCGGCACATCAGCGTCGAACGGTTCTACCTTCAAACTAAGTTGCGCTCAGTGGCACTCCATGTCCTCGACCTCAAGCCCGAAACAACAATGCTTCAGGAGCAGATTTCGATGTGCACCCAACCGACATCTCGAAAAACAAGGAAGGCATGCTGAAGAGCGATGGTATCTACACTCTAAACCTTCCACAGGGCTGAGGGATGCTCAATCGCAAGCTCAAGCAATCGGGGTTTACTTGTTCGGGGTAGCTTTGTGAACCGTCGTTGCCAACGCAGTCGTCGAACTGCCATGAGCAACAAAGAGAAGCCACATCAAAACCAGGTGAGCTATGTCGACAGCTGATGTCGCTGGCGCTCTCCACGCTTTCACATGTCTGTGTTGCAGTGAGGGCGGTTGTTGACCTCCCCTTGGACTGTCGCCGAAACAGGGCATGCTGGAACAGCCCATCATCCTTACTAATTAGAACGTATCGGCAGTTGTAGGCATCTTGAACCCTGAAATGTGCGTCTCTGCTTACTCTCCTGGAGGATGAAGGGGCATTTCCGCGACCCCTAATGGATCGCTTGGCGGCAGCCCTCAGTTAGCGCTGTGCCCGCTTTGACATTCCGCGCAACTCCATTCAGAGTTCAAATCTCCGCCAAACACGAACTTACAGCTTGACCTTCCTGCTAAGCGACCCTTCAAGCACCTCCAATATGAAGGCACGAGGGAGCTTCGACATCTCGCCAGGATTTGTATAAGGAAACTTAAGAGGCTTAGGACATGACGTGGCAACACCCTAGCTAAGCTCCAATTTGAGAGTTTCGGGCTCAGCGATGTAAGGCGTAAGGATGCGCCCCCTTCAGGTAACTCATCGACCTAGCCCAGAAAGGTGAGGGTGTGGAAGTACTCCGTAACAAAAATTGTGTTAATATCATCCTAGGAGTCCTAAGCGTGAACCAATCCCCCGTCGGTGCTACATCGGAAGACACCCGAAGTGGACTATTTCCCAAGGCCCCAGACCCTGTACAACCTGGTGACCGCAGCTGCGGTGGATCGCTTGCTGGTGATTTAAATGGCGAGTGCTACTTCAAGCATTGTCATGCGAGTCGTGGGTGGCCAAAGTATATAGCTGATCACTTCTGCGAAGCTCTTGATAACTGGCGGTGCAATCGGAGGGCAGTTGCCACTTCAGAGCGTTCTAAGATAGACTAAGAGATTGAGATTCAGCTGCTTCTTCACAGGGTATGGCCTTCCTGGTCTGGAGCCTTCGGGCCTATGTCTACTGACTCAGAGGGCTCATGGGACCTAGGTAAGAACCACGTCGGGCTTTACCATGTCGATGCTGTGTTTTGTGATATGATCCAGCGGCTCGAAGAGTTGTGTAGCAGGGCATGGTCTTGGCTGAGAGTGCCGGCCGGAGCACACGTCTACATCCCTGCCTGTGAGGCTTGGTTTCAGGGACAATAGCTACAGCTTGCCTCGAGCCTCGAAATCCGTAAAACAATTGTCACCAACATATTCATGTCACAAACATATTCGTGGCACTCAACTTGTTATCAGAGTAGTGAGTAGTGCGAAGACCTGACAAAATATACCTAGGACAATGTCCAGCCTTCACAGCACAGGGTTCACAAGCTCGGCCGCTTGAGCGCTCAGGCCAAGGTTCGGGGCTGATTGATGGATCGCCTGCCATGGCTCAGAACAATGTAAGAGCTTGAGTTAGTCCATAGCCACAATCCTTGTAGGGTGCTGGGCACCTTTTTTGGGGCGAAGGCACTGAGCAACTCAGCTGGCAGTGCAACCTGCATTCTAGGAGTCTATTTTGCACGACATATGTTAGCACCGCAAGAAGCGAGACCTCAAGGGCAGCAGCACGTGCCGCAGATGCCAAAGCAGCAGCAGTCGTGGCGGCGGTAGCAGCAGGAGGAGGAAGCAGGAGCAGGAGGGTCGGAGTGGGAGTAGGAGTTCGAGCAAGAGTAGGAGTCAAGAGTACGAGTAGAAGTAGTAGTAGCAGTAGTAGCAGTCGTCCTAGTCGTCATCGTAGAACAGGTGTAGCAGTAAAAGGAGTCATCGTGGTGGCGGTAGTACGTAGTTGTTGCAGCAATATCAATCGAGAGCAGGACGAGGAGGAGCAACAGCAGGAGCAGGAGTAGCAGTCAAGTAGCACTAAAAGCTGCGATAAAAGCCAGCAGCATAGGAGCGCCTCCGTTCGTTCCAGGGATGCGCGCGCAAACTTGCTGCGGCGCCTTGCAACATCACAGCGAGCGTTGACTCGGACACAAATTCTCCGGGGAGTCCTAATTTGCATCGTAAGCCCAAGTAGACAACTCTGGTCCTGCCACTACAATACGTGGACTTTCTAACATTATGCCTCAGGGTTCACAGTTGAATGAGGGTTAAGTTTCATTTTCAGGGGATGCCACGGCTGCTGCAAGTGAAGGCACGTCATCTTCAAAGAAGAGATATCCACGTTCAAGTTGCCCTGGTGCGACACCAGGCTACCTGGAGTGTCAAGACATCAGCAGAACGAGCCAAACACCAAGGCGCCTCTTTTTTTTGAAGGTGCAACTCAACTCCTGCCGAGCCTACTCCTGCCCGCCAGACTTCCAGACTTCCAGAGCCGAAGCCGGTCGGACTGCCGGTTTTGGGGAAAGGTGGGGACTTGATGTTCTTCCCAGAGATATTCTGCCGGACATGCTGTTCATAAGGGTGAGGGATCAAAAGCACCAACAGCCAGGGATCAACACAAGTAATAAAAGGGTCAAAAACAAATCAAAACCCTAGGATTTAAATACAAATCCACGGTTGCAACATGTTTGATTTAGCTTTGAACAGGGAGCCGCCTGAAATTTCCTCGTGTTCAGAGGAGCGGGTGGCCTCCCCACCGCACATTGCTTGTAGGCTGCCATAGGAAAGTCGAAAGTCCCTCTATTCTTGGGGCTTCAAGGAAAGTGGGGTCCCTCCCACTTAACAGAAGCAGCATGGTCTGACGACCTTGTTTGAGGCAAGTATATACGGCAATGAGACTTTGCAAGCACAGGGACTGGACGGTGGCCCACAAATACATGGCAGAGGGAAGTGGCAAGGCGCTTAATAAAGGCCCTGAAAGGTGCCTAGGCGCTTCTCTCAAAATTCCGAAAATGATATAGGCGCTTGTCCATACAGGCACGCAGAAGTGCTTAAAGACGCTTGCGACGCTGGTTCAAAAGTTTGGTTGCCATGCGCACTTGTGCCAGGCTCTCGATTGGCTCGAAACTTGGGAGCCCGCCTCCCCCCCGCAGTGCACAAATAACCCTCCCTCAAGACGACCCCCGACAGACCGAAAGTATGCGAAGTGCCACACCAAGGCATGAGACGAACGTGTGTGAGCCGCTGCCTTCGGATGCACAACAATTTCGTGGACATGCACGCAGCCTTTGTGGAAGTGGCATGTTCCGACGGCCCTAGAGAACTGGATCATTCAACGCAGGGGCCAGGAACCTCGCAACAGGGGGGGCCCTCCGGCGTGTCCAGGCTGGGGCCTCTGGGTGGGCCTTTTCTGGGTCTCTCCCAAACGCCTGCAGAGCCTGGCTTGGCTACCGCAGGGAAGGGTCCTTTTTCATTCCTTATTGCCTTTCTAGCTCCTTCCTTTGAATCATTTGTTCATCCGTGGAAAGCTGTCTGGGTCCTTTAAATTAAAAGTTGTTCCTGATCCTTGTGATATGAGGTGCGTGCTGGGTGCCACATGTTTTCCCCTGGAAAGCATGAACCTTATCCTAGTTCTGGGGCGTCGGCGTCTTTGGCAATTAGACCACCCTGAACCAGGAATCAACCCTGAAGAACCTGAAGCCGAGCTGCACAAAGACGAGCAAAGCTGGTTCACCTGCTGCTGCAGCACTGGAATCGACGGCTGCAGTGAGAATCTCACCTTGAGGGGCTGCTGGCTGATGAGCTGGCTGATGAGACTCTCATGAGACTGTAAAGCTCAAGGGCTGCAGGGCTCCTAGGAAGAACAAGGTGTCATGTTTGGCAAGGAGTCATGTTTGGCATGTTCATAAGGGGCTTGGGGTGATGATAGCTTAAGGTAAGGATCTAGTTGTGTGACTGCTTGGTCGGGCTACGCACTCCTTGATCAATTGTACTCAGCTTGTTGTGTGCATCGCTCTTGGCAGCTGCGTGTACACATCGGAGTTCTTTTGGAATGCCATCTCGAACCTGCAATGACCTGCATGTCTGCCCGTCCGATGTGATCTGCAGATCGCAGCACGCTTGAGCTTGGGCCTGGGTTCACAAGGATCGGACGGGGACGGACCTTGCGAGCTGGGCTCCCCAACAATCTTGCAGTGAGGCATTCCGCTCGCAGGCGTCTGCATCATGGAGCTCGCGCCAATGCCTGAACACCAGGCAGTACACAATGCCTTCAATGGCCCACAGCTGATGGCTTCGGACTTCAGGTTCGCAGCCAGGGATCTCCCCACCAATTGCTGAAGGGCGCAGTGCTCGATCTCGGAATCGCCAATGCCTGCTCTGCGACTTTTGTAAGTTTTAGGGCGGCTTGGGATTTAACATCACCGGCGGCTTTCCAGATTGTAAGGCCTACGCCCACACCCACCGTCAAAACCCCTCTATCCGCCCCTCGCGACTCTTTCTGTGCGTGCCGAGTTGCTGATGAAGCCTTTCACGTTTGCCTGAGGTTGCGCCGCTTCAGGTCGTGGCAGTTTTTTCCCCAAGCACGGCAACTTTATAGTAAAGCATAAAGTTCGACCGACTCTTGCAGCAACTGCTGCTGACACGGACACGCCTCGATGTGCGTTTTCGAAAGTTCATGCAGCTGTCGGGTTTGGGACTTTCCATCCGACAGCACACAGGGCTACGTAGGCAGGCAGAAGTACATGTGTGCATGTCGAACCGCTCTCTGGCAAGAACAAGGTCCGCACCATAAAGCTCTGCATGCTTAAGGCCCTAGCCCTTAAGATCCATGAGCAGCATTTGCACAATCATCTTCAGTCCGAGCAAGGCGCTGTGTTCCCGAAGAGTTGCTTCACACAGCTTCTCATGGCATCCCGCTTTGCCCGTATGTACCTTAGGCTTCGCACATGTATGCTCACCGCCTACACATGTACTCGACTCGGGTGACATATACGAAGATGGGCAAATGGCCGTTAACTCGTTGCAATGTCAATGGGCTCACAAGGGGTCCCTCTTGCTTGCATCTTTTGGGCTCGCTCTCATACTTTGGCAGAGCAGAGCACTGCTTCCAGGGTTCACTGTTGACAAGGTCGCTCACAGTCGGCTCAAAGTTTGCTGTTCGATTCCAAGTGTCTCGGTGTCAAAGAGGGTGGTATATCACATTCAAAGAATGTTCCAGACAACACTAAACATGCAAGCTATCGGAGCGACGCAGCCATGATCTACACCGCACCAAGAGTGCGGATGATGCCAGAAACATCGCGCATCGTTTGGCTCGCGGCGATGGCATTGTCAATTTGACACGCTTTGTAGCATGTGCGCTGATATGTTTAGGACACCATTTTAAACGATTTCAGACTGATAGGCATGCCGCAGAAGTGGCACGTGGGGCGGATATAGATTTGACCCAACGCCCCTGCACTGAACCCACAGCCATACACCTTAAAGCTCCAGCGCGCACACGCACACGCACACGCACACGCACATCAACATCCAAGGCCATAGTTTCTCTGATAGCTGAAAGCAATGCAGCTCCCGGGTGCTTAGGTTTCGTGGGGTTGCTTGCCAATCATGTAGGGTTTAAGATAGAGTCTATGATGCTAATTGTTACCAGTCGTCTTGACGCAGTCCTGGTTCATGCAACCGTTCCTTTCTTGCCACGGCGCGCTCCAGGGGATCCCATGTTCGCGACTGCCATGGGCACATGCTCTCTTGCATAGAGCACGGGGATCCTCACTCAAGGAGGTTGGGGCTTCAACCTCTCCCTAAGGCATGTGTGACTTCAGTGTATGCTCAGCATGATGCTTGCTGCATTCGTTCTGAATGCCCTGGCCACTTCAGTGTGTGTGGCCATTGGCGGGTGCAGCATTTTGGGATTCATCGAAAACCCCCAAACCTCCAGGATTTAAAGTAACAGCTGTTGGTTTTTTGTGTCACGTGGAGCGGAGCCTTGGCTTTACACAAAGGCTTTTCCTGCTGTGTTCTAGGCTGAGTGTTAGAGGATGGGCTTTGGATTCTGTGGGCTCTTTAGCTTCAACTCTGGGAGATGTCTCATATCTGCCCGTATCTACCCTCAAAGCCCGGTCACTGGAATCGTCCAGCAAAACGACTAAGACCTGGTGAAACCATGTGAAGCCCCATGACCCCATGAGAGCCCCTAGAGCATACCCTGGCATGGGACAAGCGGCTGCAATTCCGTTAGCAGGCTCGGAAGATTGAGGCCAGGAAGACAGGCCTCGTGAGAGCGTTGCTTACCCCCAAAAGGTCCTAAAGCTCTGTTGCTTGGGAGGGAGGAGACATGTACTACCCAGTTTTCGGGCTGAAGCAAAGCAAGCTCAACTAGCGGGCGCCTCACACCCTTGATGGCATCTCCGAGCCGTAAAGCATAAACCCCGATGCTCAGGTGCCTCCGAAACATCGTTCAGCCATGGTCTTCGCGCCAAAGTGATAATGGCCACGGAGGCAAGCTTCTTTGCAGCACCTTGTTTCGGGAATTGAGGATTCAGTTCGGACCACCTCTAACTGGCGAGCCAGCCGAAGTGGGGTCGAGGGCATGCCCGGAAATTATGCCCTTCTCGCAGGAACATTTCCCTTCGCAATCAGGCTGTAAAACCTTGCCTGGACTCGAAGATATCAGCCCTCTACCACCAAACCGAGCTGTCTGAGCCCTCAACCCCGAAACCTTGAAGACTTGACTGCTAGGATGGAGGCGTTAGGGTCTTAGGTGCAAAGGCTTCAAGGGCTTTTTTAAGTCTCGTAGGTTTAGGTTGGGTAGGTCTGGGCGGACGGGAAACATTTTAACGAGTGTGTGTTGAAGTTTCGGAGTTCTTTGCTGTAGGGTGCTGCGGGTTTGGAACTAACGCTCAGGCCTCAATGAGGTTTGTAACGGTTTAGGGCTCACGTTTAGTGCTTCAGCTCCAGGGATAGTGAAGTTATAAGTTCTAAGGGCTTAGTGCTTCACGGGTCAGCGCTGAAAATTTAAGGGCTGTAGACGTTGCGGGTGAGGTTTTGGGGCTCATGGGATTGAGGGCTTCGCGCTTAGAGTTATTTTTGAAGGGATCAGGGTTCACGGTTTGGGTGTACGAGTAGTCGTCATGCTGGTTGGGGTCTAAGGGTGAAGGGTTGCATCTCTATAGCGAGTTGTGCTGGAAGGGTGCAAGGGCCACAAGAGGGCCACAAGAAAGCAACCGCATTCGTCTGAGAGTCATGAGATGAACTGCTCTGTGCCAAGTGTCGTAGGACCTCCTCAATCAGCTTGGCTGTAGCTGCGAGTTCCTCGTAGAACCTGCAGCTGCGCATTCGATGTCAAGTCGCTGGCCTGCTGAAAGATCAAACTCACGACACACTAGGGGTACTTCGGAACACATACGGAACCATACACCAGTAGCCCAACCTTCAAGCCCAAACTTTGAGACACGAGCAGCATGACACCCTGAAGCGCCGCAATGGCTACACAACCAACAGAAGCGAAGTCACAAACACACCACTGCCGAGCAACGGGTTCTCCTTACGGATTCGTGGGAGCTCTTGCCCTGGGATCTGTGGCAAGCCTGGAGTGCTGCGTTGCGGGCCTTAACCGACTCAGGGCTTAAGGTTTAATTGAGCTGTGAAATTTGTGATGGTCTGTTCAATCTCTCACTGCGTCTCTCCTTCTGCCCATCCGCCACCGTGCTGGATGCCTGCTCGGGCTGCTGAACTGGTCGCCCATCGGCTGTGTTTGCTGTGTGGCGTTCCCTCCTGTGATCTTTCTTTAGTCTGCTCATCCGCCTCTCCCTCCTTGCACTTTGCAGCCACCGTGCCCTAGTACCTTTGTGCGCCCTGTGTTCGCTGTCGATGTGTCTCCAGGCTTTTTTGGCTGGGTCACAGATGCCCCCTGCCCCAGCAAAATCCGCCCGGGTGGGGGAGGCCTGAAGCCTGCCACGGGACCCCTCCCCTCCGCGTATCTCTGATTAAACTAACCGAATGTTAGCCCTAAACCCTACCAGAAAGGTATGCAGCACTCCGCCCTCCAGAAAGCCCCCCCGCCGCCCCTTCATGGTCTGTATGTACCCCGGTGGTTCATGGTGGGTTTTTGCCACCCGCCCAGCAGACTTGCCACCTGCAGAGCAACTGAGAGAGGCTTAAGGTTTAGGGTTCAGGGGTGTGTTGAAGGCTTGGCTTCAGGTTAATTAGTGTTTCCTTGTGGTTCGCTTAGCTTGTGGGGGTAAGGGGGGTACAGGGGGTGGGGGAGAGGGTGGGGGGGGGGGGGGAAGTTGTGGACGCTTTTCAACCCATGCCTAAATCCTATGCTATAGCATGACTATGAACCCTCCCCCAAACCTTACATCTGGAAGCATAAGCCTAAACTCATTAACTCAGGCCAAAAAACCCAAAGCTTAAGCTCAAACCAACCTCAACCTTTAGGGGGATCCCACCCGCACAAAACAGGAGGAGGGGCCAAGGCCACATGAATGGGAGGGGGGGGGGGGGGACGGGCGGGGGAGTGCGAAACAGGGCTTGCGCCAGAAGCTAGACAAATCGCCAGAGCGCGCCATGAACTCAGCGAAACTGCAACCTGCCAAAACATGACAAGCCAGATGCGTGGGAGAAAAGAAGGGAAAAGAGCGAACGCCCGACGAGACATCTAGGAATCTCGTAGCAGGCACCTCGCGACCAAAGATAGGCAACACCATGCAACAACTTGAGCATCTGAGGGGCATGGCAGCACCACTTGCTGTAAGAAGGACGTCGGGCATAGCGTGTCGTCCCAATCGAAGAAGATGCAGCTTCGAGCCTTTCTTTTGATTTCGGAAGTTTCGGGCAATTCCCTTTTCGGGGCTATTCGCTGGAAAGCACTTAGTGACCAGTTTAGTGACCAGTTCTCCTATGCTCCTATGGTTTTGTGCTGCTTTGGGTCAGACAATGGTTCTGCGGATGCCCCAACCTTTTTTTATGGAGTACCGCGGACTTTCAGCTCCAAAGTCACCCACTCTTTCATATCAAGATTTGCTTCGGAATAGAAAACTAAATGCCCAAAGTAGGAGGCCCTCTCTGTTCTGCTTGTTGGGCACCAGATTGGGAAGGCCTGTACATTTGGGCTGCAAGCGCTTGAGCATCAGTCGCCTGACTAGTCTGGATGTCCGGGATAGCCACCTGAGGGACTCAAAGGATGTTGCGACTCTCCTCACATTTCGCACACCGCGAGGCATGGCAACGGAAAGTCGTTTTGCGCTTCGATTCACTGGATGGCCCCCTTGAGTCTGCATCCACCCACATCAGTCTCCTTCACCACGAACCCCATTCCCGGGCTCACCAGTCAGAATCTCCCCGATCATGTCTTGGACTTGCACCTCCATGCATCTCCTCATTGTGACACCCTTTTCTTACTTAATCTGTGGTGGGGAAACCCTGCTGCCACGCGATTCCTGAACACAGCGCATCTACGTATCTGCACAGGGTTGGCGTTGCTGCTTTCCCGGGTGTCCCAACGGAGCACTCTTCCTCAACCGTATTTGATTTCCCTTTGCTTCCCGCTGTCTAGCGGCTTCATGGGACTTCTTTTCTGCAGTAAGCAGGCCAAAGCAGCACGCCGCTCCGATGCATCCAGCTGAATCCCTCCGTAAACCCCATCGTTGTCGAGCATCGGCGGGTACCACCCGCCAAAAGTTTCTGCGAGAATCTGTGAGTAGCTGCTGGAGCTCAGCGCTATCGCGAAGAATGCGTTGGTCTGGGGGAGTTCGTTTTTGGCGTTCCGGCCTCGGCTGTTGGCGACTCTGCTCGCCGGGGCTGCGCTGCGACGACCTCGGCCTCGGGACCAAGGGCAAACGGGATTCCGACTTGGGATCTTCGGGCTTGAGGTGCGAATTTTGGGCTTCGTTTAGAAGTGGGTGCTGCCAGTCGAACGGAACCTTGGATGGAGATTGGTTGCAAGCTTCAAGTTTCAATTTCAGTGAAGTTTCTGTCAGCTCTTTCTTCGAACAAATTCCCCCACACCATTTATCCAAGTCAGTCTACTTGAACCCCTTTACCTCCGAACCACCTTGGCTTTCCCGCAATGTCCATGCTTACAGCCTCCTGGACCTAGCACAGCTACTTGCTTACGAAGCCCCCCACCACCATCCTAACTAACATCAAGCCTAAACCAAAAACCCTTGGACCTGGATAGGTCAACTGCCTGGGTCCCCGGTCTGCCAGGACTCGGCCGGACTCATCCCAAACCTTCTCTGGTTGAGGGTTTGGATGGGTTTGGGGTGCGCAGTAGGGCCTTGGAGACGTTCACTTCGACTCTCATGACTTGGCCGGTCGGGATCAGGTACAACTACACTTCAAGTAAAAGCAGAACACTTCAGATCTCAGCATCTTCTACAGTCTACACGTATACAGCCCGACTCCCAGCTTGGACCATGCTCCTTGCTCATGGCAGGGGAGGTTAAGCCGGTTAAGCTAGTCTGCGCACCCTTTGTATGCTCACACGTCGCCATGTCACCCGTACTTGTCAATGGGCGCAGCTGTTTGTCCAATTATTCATGCCTTCAGGAGTACACCGCATCACCCAGCCCACACATCGGCCACGGATTTGGCAGTGCCACACTGATCCTAGCATGGAACACAATAGCAGAAACTCTTTGAGCCGGGAACTCGCTAAACTTGTTGAATCCCGCGAATCCCCTGTGATGAGCTTCATGCAGCGCAACACGCATCAGCCAAGATGGGCTAACTGTAGTGGTACGGGTTTGGGGGCATTGCTGCGCGTGTGCGTGCAATTTCGGATTGTCAGTTTGCAAACCCTAGGGACGATCCATGGTTTCCTGTGGCCATGACATGTGGTTTTTTTAGGACGAAGTGCTGAACATCCCCTCCCAACCAAAAGTTTGCGCTGAAGACCCAGGACCTGGCAGGCACAAAAGCGACCACACTCGCGACCACACTACCACACGCGCCTTTAACCGAATCCCAAGAGAACTGCCCTAGTTACTGATTTAACTCAGAACCCCCTCCCGCAGAATCACTAAAGCACGCAAACTCCTGATATGAAACGCCTCGAAAAGCCACCAAGGTTACTAAAGGCCCACCTACCTACAGGCCCTGACTGATGGCCTTGGTCACGCGGTTGCGGCCCATTGCCTCTCAAAACTTCAACAAAGGAGTGCCAGTCTGGTGGCGCCCAAAGGATTTCCGTCGTCGGGTCCATGCGTTTTGGGGGCGGGGCACATTTCAACACCAGATCCCCAGTATGAGAAGTATGAGAACTATGAGAAGTATGAGAAGTATGAGAAGTATGAGAAGTACCGCTTCAGAAAGCACAACAAGTTTTACCATTGGCCTGCTGTGGAAGGCATGGAGACTTGCACAAACATGGCGAGCCTTGGACTGGAGAACTTTTGAGTGCTGATTGTTGCTCTTAACAGAGAAAGCGATGCAACGAGGGCACAGCAGTGGGCAAATCAACACGCTTCCGCTCGTGAAGCCGGAAGCGAACTCGAACGAAACCTTCTGCTCATCTAAGCTTCTTCCTCTTTTTTGAACCTATTGCTCAACAACCATCGGCAACCTGTAGTGCGAAGCCTCCCGTGTCCAGCGCTTGATCTCGTTGCCATCCCCCTGAAAGTACTGCTTGCTCGCAGGGCCTGAGAACCAATTCTTCGGCAAACGGACGACAAACGCTTCAGACTCTATGCACACATTTCACGACGCATGCGTCGAGCATCATGGAACGATGCAGCGCGGCTACGTCGGCTACACGCATGTGCATGCAGGAGGCATGCTGCTCAAATACACACAATCCCTGTGCAATGTGTCCTGCATCAAAATTGTTCCGAAAGAGCCGCAAACTAGCAAAAAACAAACTTATCTGAAGGGATCTTTGGCCACATGTTTCACAAATAATCCACCTAAAGCACATACGCAAAATTATGTTTTGACTCTCCAGATACATCAGGCATTTCTTGAATGCATACCAATGCAAATCGCATACACCGCCAAACTAAACAGGAGAGTGACAACAGCACAAAATGTCTTAAATCGATGCCAAAGTCTTCCAGCCGAGGCTCGAAGCTCCGGCGCGACCGCAAGTTGGCTCCGCATCACGCCGGCGACTTCCTTCCGCCACGGTGAGGGGTGCGGAGGAGTGTAGGCGTCTGGGGGCTATCAGCAGCTGATGCCCTGAAATGGCCGGGCTTGACTCATATCGCTGCCAGGGGAATCCAGGCAAACGAGAACCACTTACCCGACGCGCCGAATTGAGAGGATGGTTTGAGGTAATGTGAAAGGCTCAACATCTAGAGGGACAGGTTTCTGCAATGAACGCTCCGGCTTGACAGTCTTGTTTCGCCCAATTGAAGGTGGGTGCCAGAAAGCGCAAAATCCATGCGAAAGAGCCCACACTTCCGACCCATCAACAACGGTCATTACTCATTAACGCCCACTTGTTTCACTTGTTTCAGCCCCCTCTGAGCCTCCAAATGAGACGTGCTTTGGCTTCCTCGGCTCGCGTTCTTTGTGAAGCTCCGGGGCTGGTTGATTGTCGTTTTTGTACGGGCATGCGGCATGCGTACTGGCCTGTTGTAAGATCCATTGCTAACTTATGGGTCAAGAGATGTCAAGAGTCTGGGGCCTCATCAGGGCCGCAAAGTTGGTTTCGGGCCGGGGTTTTGGGAGTAGCACAACGTCACCTGAGCCAGTGGCGGCCCATCGGGGGAATGCTCGGAATGACCTGCCCAGGTGATTTCAAGCCCAATTGACGGTTAACACTTCACAAAGCAGTTTCTGATGTGACATGGGACCTTTGGGGGTGCCTGTTCAACCATGGATGTACCAAGACCCACTGCCGGAAGAAGGGAAAGGGATTGTTCATGAATGCTTCACGTGGCTCCGCTTCCTCTTTTACCCGAGCGCCTCCGGCGTCTCTATGATCCGGGCAGCAGTGGCACACCGAGAAGGAATGTTCCTCTCGCTCAGAGGCACTGGCTCGCAAAAGGATGCGAAGTCTGCGTGTGCAACTTGACGATGCTTGGGCCGAACAAATCAAGGCAAACCCAACAAAGCAAACATGGCTGCAGCACTTTTTGGCCTCACCGCCGCGGATTTCGCTGCAGCTTTTTCCACAAGAAGCCTACTTCCTGGTTTGTGGGTTGCTCCAGAACCTATACCCTCAACGCCCACGCCCTCAAATCCTAGGTATCATTGCCAGAGCTGCCAGAGGCAGCAGGGCTGGAAGTGGCCTGCAACAAACAAGGGCCACCCTCAAGGCGAAAGACTTTGTGAAAGGGGGGGGTGTTGAATGTTGGTCCTTGGTGGGTACAGCAGCAAGTTTGCCGGCCCACGCTTTTGGCAAAAGAAAGATCGCAGAGCGACGTTTACTACAGACATGCCATATCGTGTGTGTGTGTGTGTTGTTGAGAGGTCCTATGGTTGTCTCGTTGTGTTTCTACTCAGTCTTGCAAAGCCAGTTCGCACTCAGTCAGTGTTGTTTGCCTTTGCTTGTATCGCTTTTCTGTACCCTATGCGAGCAACATCGGGGAGAGAGGCGAGAGGCGCAGAGGGGGAGAGAGAGCGAGAGAGCGCGGGAGAGAGAGAGAGAGAGAGGCCATTTAAAAACCGATGATTTCTATAGTTTGGGAAATCCACCAGTTGTTATCCGTTAAGCCATGAGCAGGGGCGCGCCTAACCTTTTACTCAGAGGGCTTGAGCGTCACAGGTAAGTGCAACATACATGGAAGCAAAAGTGGAGGGAATGCACAGATATAAAATACACCCCCCTCGTTGAAGCGTGAGAATGCTGAAACGCAGTCAACGAATCCACGGCAAGCACTACGTGCTGCGTTTTGCTCCTCTACTGTATGTTCAAAGTGCGCTCACCCGAGTTTTAATTCAGGTTCAACGCCACAGATCACCGCGCACCAGCTTAAGAAATTTGAAACGCTGGCGGGGATACAAAGGTGGCTCGTGCAAAACAGTGGTTCACTCAGCACCGACCTCAAAAGAAAGGAAAACAGAGCGACACGGTCAAGATGCTAAGCTACTCCAGCAGAGTTGCGGAACTCAGGACTCACCAGCTGCGATCTCGATGGTCGTAGCGCCAAGGTCCACGGGAGTGCTCCGTAGTGCGACTCCCTGAGCTCCACCAGGATCCTTGATCCTGCCACTGGCGATCACGCCAGGAACTTGAGGAATGCCAGTCGCCCTGCGACCAAGAGTTGTCGCTCCACGACCAGCCACGATTCGTGTCACGATCGGCCTCCCCAAAACGGGGGGGCATTTTGCGATGTCCTTCTTGCATCCGCCCGCGCCTGAGCGGCCCGGGACGCTTCTGCCGATTCCTTCATCCTTCGGCACGTCTCCTTTGCCCCACCATAATTCTCAGAGAGGATCTCGGCCAAAAAGACTGCCAGATGCTCTTCCTCATCGAAGTCCGGGATGCCAATGATGCCCTCCGTAAAGGTGAGGATGTGGGAAACCGCACGGGTGACGCGGATGGTCCGGGCGAATTCCTTCACGCCCATGAAGTTGCCGAGCCAAGCGTAGCCCATAGGTTCGAGGTTGGGGTCGTCAATGAGGCCGGCCAGGACGAGATCGTCGGCATTCTTGTCGAAGAACACCATGCGAGCCAGTCCCTCATGATTGACCTTTTTGTTCTCCCAGGCTTTGTTGGAGCCGTAGCCCAACTCACGTTGTTCGCGGGAACGACCTTGATTGGGAAGATAAGCGCATGCCACGCAGTCCTGAATAGTGAGCCGCCTTCTCGTCCAGCCGCCCTTGATAGCGTGGATCGCGTAGGTGTCGTCCTGGTCGAACTTGTCTACCATCGACGTGTAGCCGTGCTTCATGAAGCCTTTGAGATTCTGGCGTGCTAACATGATAGCTCGGCCATCTACGCTCTGCTGTCCCCTCAAATCATGCGTTCCAGCGGCCTGGCGAATCTTCGCGGCATCCAACTCCCAAAGGCCCTTCCCAAACTGCTCCGCCAGGGCGTCCAAGACATGGGAGCGCTCACGCGCCATCCACATTCTGAAGGCGCTCTGGGTGGCCCCACGGGTGACGTAGTAGCCACAGTGGAAGCACTTGTGCTGACCTTCGAGACGGAGCTTGCCACAACTGACGCACTGAACCTGCGTGATTCCCCTGTTCCATCCAGGACGCGGCGCCTGGGTTGCCGGTGCCGTAGAGCGGGTAGCCATTCCTTCATCAGGGACCACTTGCAACTGACCTTCAGTCAAACGGTTCCTTCCTGAAGGTGACACCTCGATGACATCGGCGTCAGTGTTGAGGCGAACGCGTAGATGTGGAAGTTCAGGAACGGTGCTCTCGACCTCCTCAAGGATGGGAACATCGAACTCCTCCTTGACCAACGGGGCTTCTTCATGCTCGACATCAGGCTCCTCTTGTGCTTCTTGGAGAGGTCCCACGGCTTCAACAACCATGCTTCCGGAAGATTCGGCCTCCTCTACCTGAGGGGCATTCTCTTCCTCCTCCCGTCCTTCGGACCCATCCGTGGCGGACCACAAAATTTCATCGGTCCTTGTGTCACGAATATAAAGGACCGTGGACCCGGAGATAGCCTCTCGGCAGAGGACGCCGTCTGATCGGGAGTAAAACAGTCCGGCGCCCTGACTGAGGGCCTCCATGGTGTTGATGACGATCTCGACGGGACGATCGCTCCTCACGCCAGGGACGTTTTCTCCCGGCCCTACCTCCCGGTCGGCAAAATACACAAAGGCATTCGCGGTGTGGTGCCCGGGGATAAAGCAGGAGTCCAAGATGGCAAAGGCTCGATCCTTGTAGGTGCGGTGGTAGAGCCTGCGTGGAATCTTCTCCAGGGGCAAAACCGGCCGACCTTCCCAGGTGGCAGAATGCACATCCATTTCTGCTTCTGGGATCATGCTGAACCAGGCCTCAGCAAGGATCGAGTCGGGCACCCCTTTCATAGCATCCTTGGAGATGCCTTGGTTCGCCCTAATAAGGGTAGGGTACCCTCCTAGGCCGTAGTACTCGGCGAGGGGGTGGTTGCGGTCGATTCGCAGCTGGAACCTGCTGCGATTGTCGTTCTTGACGACAGTGAGGAGCATCCCGAGGCCATAATCCTTGTTCGTCTTCTTGTTCCAGGCCTCGAGAATCCTCCTCGTAGAGCACCACAATCCATCGCCCTGCAGGCCCGGGACGATCTTGCCACGAACAATGCCGGACAAGGCAGTCTTGTGATGCTGGGGAATGTTGACATACTTGAAGTTCGGCATCTCGTCCTGAAGGATGTCAACCCACTCGGCCTCACCTTCCGGTGGGCATAAATGGATTGCGTCCCAATCGAGGCCCAGCATGTCGACGAGGCACCAATCGTCATCGGTTGTGTAGTAGCCGGACTTGATGGGCTCGTCGTAGTCAGCCTCGTGTGGGCCCTTCTTTGCCCGTTTGGGGGCACTGGACTCAGGGTCGGTCCGCTGACGACTGTAGACCTCCCCCCTGGCCAAAAGCTTCTCCTTAGTCTCCCGCGCCGTTGACGACGATGACGGAACAACGACGGCCTCCCCTGGACGGGGGGCATTTTCCTCGCTCTTCTTGATCATCTCGTCGTAGTCCTCGCGGGTAACATATTCCCCATCTCCCAGGTGAACGTGGTCCTTGAAGTCCCGGTGGACAAAGTGGTTCGGCGCGGTGTCGGGGAACTGCTCCTGGGGTCCTTGGAAGTAGATGTCGTCCCACGGGTCAGCCTCGACAAGCGGCTGATATGTGGGCGCTACTCTTCCTTTACGGAAGTGATTCAGGAGCTTCTCCTCCACCTGCACGTCCACAGCGAACTTGACGTTAGGCTTTGAGACGTGGCCGTAGTTTTGCAGGATCAGGTCGATGTCGGCTTCCTTGAAGAAGGAGCATTGGTGACGAAGGACCATAATCCTGGCGGTAAAACCCAACCACCTCAACAGCTGCAAACGATAGGCGCTGTCCTCCTGGAAGTGAAAGTGATCGAACTTGCGGATCTGGCTTGCAGGCGTATTGAAATGCTTGACGGCCAGCCCAAGTTGGGCGGCATAGTCGAGCAAATCCGCCATGATGGTACCCCAGTCGCGCGGGAGGCAGTAGCTGGCAGCGTCGGTCGCAGACGTGAGCAGCACAGTACCCACTGACGCCCGTGACTGTAGATCCGCCAACTTGCCTATTTCCCGGAGAACCTTTGGTCCAATGAACTCCCAGCTCCCCTTTGCCATGTGCGGGTAACCACGAAGCCACTCCGTCTTGCTCTTGAAGCCTGGGTCCAGAAACAGACCTCTTTCGCCGACGAACTCGTTCCCGTTCCAGATCATCATGAGGTCAATGCTCACCTGACCACTGGCGCCAGTTTCACGCTCCAGTTGGGTGACTTTTCCCACGGCGAGCTCTACGAGCCGCGTGAGATTCGCACCCCATGTAGGAATGTACTCAACGCCAAGATGATGTGGGAAGGCATTGCCGCGGTTGGCCTTGATGTCTGCCAGCAGATCTGTCTTCCAATTTCCTTCAGTGAGGAACGTAGTTGTAGAGTCTGCGACGATGACAAGGTAGCGCAAACGGCCTCGAGTAGACTCGGGCTGGAGCATGGCCAAACCTTGATCGGTGAGCTTTCCGATTTTGGCCACCAAACCAGCCTCCCTGACGTCACTGAGGGCATATTCGCATGCCAGTGGCCGCGGCAAATACTTGTAAAAGTTATTCACGCTGGCTTCATCCTCCTGGAAAGGCGCCATGGTGCGGTATTCGGAAGACAATGAAGTCTCCCATAACCGGCGATCCCACCACTGGCGCAGGACCTCCGTCGGAGCAACGATTCCAGCGTTGGTGGCTTCCATGTCCGGCGCGCAGAACTCTGCCGCGAGAATGCAGCAGGCAGCTAATGCGTTAGTTTGTTCAGCTTTGCGAGTGCAAACGTGTTTGTGGTCACACGAAAATTGTTGTTGTGCACAAGCTGCATAGTTAGAACGCCTATCGCAAAAGCTTTTCCAATCAATGTGGATGCAATCAGTCATGGCATGTGAATAATTCTCACTGTCCTTAAGGTCCTGGCCTCTAGACTCGCCATGAACATGACTGCGATCACACTTGTGCGCTGCCAGCCGCTGCAATGGAATCGACGACGCAATGGTCCAAGCTTTCCTTAGTGGTAATCCTTGGTAATTCGTAATCCCCAACATGCAACCATCGCAACGGTAGAACTCAAGTCCAAAATCATTAACCATATGCTGAACATGGTCCCACTTCCAATAGTCGCAATCCTTAGGGAGTTCGAAGGCAACCTGTGGTTTGTACTCTTTGAGCTTCCTAATGAATTTTCGGAACTGCTTGAGGAGTCTGCAAAACAGTTCCTGATGCTGTTCCCACTTTGGGCTGTCAGGCGTCATGCGATTCCACGGACAACCACCAGTACACGGAAGCGACGCATAAACTAAAATTGGCTTAGATGCTCCCCCCTCGTCGCAGAGGGTACTAATTTTCTGAACAACTGAAGTCAATGTAGAGTCTTTCAAGACATCATCCTCACTGGTGACTCGCAACACATAACATCCTTGACTTGCGCTACGATCCTGCCCTAGTTTGCTGTTGGGGGAGCAACAAAACTCGACTATGATTCGTTTGAACCCCAACGGCCTCGAGTATTCTCGGGCAGAAGCAGCGCTGGCCGCACGTGGGGGCAGCCTGAATCCAAGCGTCTTCAAAGAATTGAGCTCTTGATCTTGCAGTGCGTCTTGGGATCGGGAGGTGTACGCAACAATGGAGAAACGTGTTCCAGTGAAAGGTAACACACAGTGTAATTTTCGCGGATCAAAAATGATGGCTTTGTTCAGGGTGGACACAGCACGACCCCTAAGGCGCTTACCATTTGGCCCGACCCTAACAATAGCATTTTCAGATGGAACAAGGGGGTCCGCAAACCACAGTTCACCATCCTTGAAATCCCCGACACTGAGGGCAAAGCTCATGCTATCCTTAGCATTCCCATGGTCCTTGTGCACAGAGGCACTAGTACAGCTATTAAGCAGCACCGAGTTCCATGTGAAGTCCTTAGGAGCATGGGCTTGCACAACTCCATTTAGGAAGCGGGCAATCTGAGGCCACCGACGTGTTGCCTTAGTCACCCCTTGCATTCCTCCGTAAGACCACTGCCCAAAGATATGGTAGTAGCTGCGATTGTCAAGCTTAATCATCTTTCGCTTGGTTTTGTTGGGGTACATGATCTGGGCTACACGCAACAAAGCCTTAGTACTGAAGTCACGGTCCTTGGTAAGCTCAGCTGCGACTGCGCAAGGATCGCCCGACGGCTTCACCACAGGGTGAGCATGAACGACAGGCTTGTTGATGAGATGAGCATCGGACTCGTGTGCCTTAGATTGCCGTCCCCCCTGAAGAGGGGCATCGACGTGCGCGATGAGCCTTAGAGCATGTTCCCATTTACCTCGGTCAGCGAAAGGTTTGGTAAAGATATCAGCTACTTGCTCTTTGGTGTCAACATTAATCATTTCGAAGAAGTTACGCTCGAACTGTTGTTTGATCCAAGCAAACGAAATGCGTTGAGTCCGATCGGTGTGACGTAGTTTTTCGCTGTCACCTTTGAGGAGAATAGTGATGGTAGCTTGGTTGTCCTCAAGGAGTTGAACAGCAAACTTGGGGCTAAGGTGGACCTTGAGACCGTTTAAATCGGAAACGCTTTGTCCATCCGCCCTACACTCACCATAACGGATCTCATCAAGTTCAGGATCAATTCGTGCGATGATGTCGTTTTCCCTTTGGTTAGGTTTGGTTTTCGGCCTAGCTTGGTAGCTGGCGGTCCTACTCGCAACCTCACGCCACAGGAAAATCCAAAGACTGAGGCTGGGCAGACCCTGGGCACGAATACCTTGGTTGGCAGCCACAACCTCGCTCTCCGTACTTGAAGTAGTGATGCTGGTCTGTTTCTTGGAAAAAGCATTTAGGGGAAAGTAAGTATTGGGGCCAACCAAGTAAAGGGCACAGCCTGAAGTGGATTTACTGTCGTGGCTACCAGCGTGGTCAGCATCGCAGAACATCCACAACTTACAATCCTGAATGCGATCCCCTATGAATCCCCTCATCCGAACTTCAAGAGAAGAGTTTATGTAACTGATCAACCTGTGCAAAGCAACGTCACAGTCGCGAGACCACTTGGTGACTCTGGATGCCAGTGCCTGAGTGGCGCGTAACAAGTCCCACCTGGCCATTCTCGCAGCGAACAAAACCTTCATGAGTACACGGCTAGCAATAGGTTGCAGCTTACCACTAGGTTCATTGTTCTCCAGAACTTTTGCTACCCGGTTCTCATGAAAAGGAGTCGCTACGTGCTTCAGGGATTTCTTGTCGACCTTGGCCAACTCACAGTACCTATCAACACAGGACACCAAGAAATCTCGCATGTCGTAGTACACAACGTTCACGGGCACAGTCATGGAAGGGGTTTTTCCCTGACTGATTGATTCAGTGCTCTTGAACTTACTCTGTCGTGCTTCTCGTTTAGCTTCGGCTTTGGACCGCTTGGGTTTATTGTGCTTAGCTGCGAGAGCATGAGAAAAGTCCTCGTCACTGACCTCAGTGATGGGGAAATATGTTCTCCCAGTCCACCAACCTGATTGGTCCGCGGGGCCCCCCTGATTCAAGTCATCATGGATAGGGTCCCTACCATCATCAAACACCGTGATTCGTTGACGGCTTATGTGGGGGAATTTCGACACGTCGTCCTGCGTAGGCACATAAAGTTTCCTACGAGGATATATGTGATGCCTAACGACTGCAGCTAACTCAGCGTCGACCTCCCAGAAGTCCTCTTTGCGGTTCGGCCGGACTTGGTAGTCGGCAGCTGGGCTAGCGTGCTTCTTGTCGAAGACGTAAGCAAATGGGTGGTCCTCCCGTGAAAGCTGGACCTGATTTTGCTCAACGTGATGACACCCGAAGTACCGCCCCAAGACCTCGGCTGGTTCCATGTCAATCACCTTAGCTATCAACTCCCAACCTTTGTTGATTTTGTCTTGGGGGCCGGCCATCTTGAAGTCATCAACGTACACAACAAGCAACAAATCTAGTTCAGCATGGTAGAAAACAGAATGCCAAATGTCGGGTAGAACTGCAGTAAAACCAACACTCTCTAACTGTTCTGTACAGTACCTCTCCCAGATACCACCTGAGTCAGGGTGGCCGTACAAAGCGAGCCTGAGTGGGCAAACAGGATCTTCATACCCAGACCATTCTTTAGGCCATCTGTTTCGAGGGAGACGAACCCATGTTTCAATGCCTTAAAAGGGCTTGTGTGTATGCGGCGATGCCATCAGCCTGCTGTTTCACGTACCCGGGTTGGCTACCAAACACATCGATGATTTTCCCGGCCTCCATGCTAGCGGGGCTTGATCCTAGTTCGGCGAAAATGGCGTGATCGTGGTTTTCGTCCTGGACATTATTGCCCTGGAAGACACTACGACCCTTCCATTTCTTCTGGGGGTGCCCGTCCGGGAGTTCATCCCCCTTGACCGAACAAATCTCAAAGATTTTCCCGAAATGGGCCTTGACATTCTTGTGTTTGGCTTCCGCGGCAACATCCCGGTACTCTCGAACCTTCTTTTCGAGCCAGCAAGACTTATCGGCAAGTTTCTTCCACTCTCGGTCCATGGCTTCTTTAGCAGCGGGAGTACTTTCGATCTCTTTAGGCCCGACAACCCTGGCAACAACAGCAAACATCTCACTCGCAACCTGACCAAGTTTGGCCCAATACAAGGACGCCATGCGGTCCCTATGGGGCTCGGGGTCAGGCTCGGCGATGACAGGCATGGCCGGGGAGTCTCTAAGGGCCTTGCGAGCATCTTCCTCGGCTTCACGAGCCTTTTTGCGTTCGAATCTTTCAATGTCAGCCTCCCGTTGTGCCTTGGAATACATGTGCCAAAATTCCGAAGGGGTATCAGGTGGCCTTTTGGAACCTTTCTTATCTCTAACCAACCTCACCCCGTCCCAGTTATACCCTTTGGGGACTTTCTTCCCGTCAGGCATGGTTTTGGGGTCATGTCTTGGTAGAGTAGATGAGGCCTTAGGCGTGGATGTTGCTTCCTTAGAAGATCCAGGAGCATCCCTCCCCAGCCAGTCCTCCACAGCTCCGACATCTTCGGGAACATAGTCCTCGTTTTCCTGGGCCACTTGGTCCAAGTACTCGGACAAACGATCCTTCAAATCGGAGCCGTCCAAATCAGGCACACCGGGCGGAGGCAAAGGCTCGTCCGGCGAATCCCCAGGCGGGGCGCGTGTTCCGGCACCTTCTGTGTCTCCCCACGAGCAGTCCTGATCTGCGAGGGTCGGCTTACGGAGGCTCTCCTGCAGTGCGAGCTGTTCGGATCTCATTGGGAATGTGAAATCCCCGGGCAACAGCTCCATTCGCTTCGACCTCAGGATGGGAAAGTTTCCTATTTCGAACGCAAAGTCACAACCCTTGACGGGGGTAACGAGGTATTCCTCCTTCCAAACGAAGCCAGGTTGAATGTGGTAACCAAGAAATATTCCCTCAACACCAGTCGGCGCAAACTTGGAGCTCGCAGGAATGTTCTGTTTGGGGTTGTTCCAGTACAACACACGTGCACCAAAAGGAATCATTATCCCTGAAAACGGTTCCCCATACCTGGCCTCCCAGGGAACAATCCCGTTGTCAAGCCTCTTAGTTGCATTAAGTGCCATCGCATGGTGTTGGGCGGCCAACGGCCAAAGCTTGTCGGGGAGACCCGCCTGAACAAGGTTGGAGCGGGTACCCTCCAAGATCGTCCGAATTTCTCTTTCGATTACCGACTTGTTGGTGTCCACATATTCGCGGGATGTAACATGTCGGACACCTAGGCTTTTGATAGCGGCATGAAGTTCAGGTGCGTTGTCTGAGTAGAAAACGCCGACTGCATCTTCTTGACCTAGGAAGTGAAGAAGGTCTTCAAAACACTGATCGCTTGACTTAGTCGGAGAGGGGTAGACGTAACGAAATTTGGTGAACACGTCCTTAACAACAAGTGCGACCCTTTCGTCCTGGAACCCATGATCACGAAGGTCACGAGTGATGATATGGTCAACCGTGATGTGATCCCCAAAGGCCTTTGACACAATGGTACTTGAGCCCCCCTTTTTGCGGGCTTGGGGAGCCAACATCTTTGCACGCTGACATACCTCGCAGAACGGATTCTTGGGCCTGTGCGAGAACAAGTGCTCAACAGATTTGGCTTCAGCTTTCAGATCGGCCTCTGCAAGACTGCGGGCGTTTCCTTCGTTGTCACTGTCAGGTTCAACATCGGGGTCTTCGAAGATAGTGAGGCTCAGGATTGGATTACCCTCCAGTCGGGCAACTTTGTTGTCAAGCTCCCTGACGTTCACTTTATCCTCAACCTTGACCCAAGAACCTTCCCTGAACAACCAAGTAGATCTGACTTCGCATCTTGGAAACCTTGGTGTAGCAGTACGAAACGTCTTTGGTTTGTGTCCGACAATCAAGTACTTAGCATTTGGGTGCGAAACCCAACCTGTTCTTTTGAGCTTCTCTTTGGGGATATCTATCGGCGGCACCTCATTGATGGCTGCGGAGATCTCAGGATCGGGGTGCTCGACCACTGGGTCTCGTTCCTCTGCTGCTCCTGCGAAAGCCTCGGCCGGCCCTATTGGGCGGCAGTTTTCTGAAAACCCTCGGACAAAACTGGTCGTCCGAGAGAACCTGAGGCTTCCTCCTTAGCGCTTGGAGCGGCCATTGCTCCTCCCCCTAGCACAGGGACCATAACTCTCATCCTACACCTTAGTCTTTGACCATTGGGCGCAACAAAGTAAGGCGGCCTTTTGGGGTACCAGTGGAACTCATAACCGTCCTCCATGCACCTTCTGCCTACGGAGCAAACAGGAGGGGTGCTGTTGAGAACATAGAACTCTAGCTCTTTGCCAAACTCCGGGAAGTCGATCCTAACCGACTTGTCACCTTTGACGTTACCATTAGCAGTGATGAGATTCACTTGTCGTAATGCGTTGCCTACTGGCTCTTCGCCGAAGTACATAGCACGATCGGCTTCGCTGATAAGGTCCTCCTCGCTTCCTGTGTCAGCAAGGAATTCTAAGGGCGTGGCGATCCCTGGACAAGCGATCTCTGAGCTCTCAACAACGTGCTTGCACATCCCACACATGAGAGAATCAGGCTCATCACACTCTAAGTGGCAATCGGTTTTCTCTCCCCCCTCATGCCGGGCAAGAAGCATCTTGAGTTCCCTTGCGTTCCTAATTGCAACCTGAAGGTCATTAGCGTCAGGCTTAGGGCAGTTTTCCGCATCAGCATAGCAAGTATTGTACCTGCGAACTTTGTAGGAATGTTTGTACCCCTTTCCCTCAAAGGGGATTTCCCTGACTTTGGGTTTGTCAGAAAACCTGACCTTCTTGTTTTGTTCTTTGATCTTGAAAATAGTCTTGCCGGTCCACGGCGTCCTATCGCCGGTTCCCCCTCTTCCCTCTTTCCAGTCCCAGTTCTCCTTTGCAGTGTACGGAGAAATGGGAAGCGTCTTGATCACTTTGGCCTTACCCTTCAACCTTTCAAGAGCAACAGGACATGACACTTCGGGCTTGTACATAGTACTTCTGTACTTCAAATGGTGCCTAACAGCTTCACCCCTTTTGAAGTCTACTTCCCAGTAGTCTTCGTCCCCATCTTGTGGTTCACTCTCCTCAGGACCAGCTGAGGCTGCAGCCGCAAGCGAGATGCAGCATGCGGCCTTCCTGTCCTTTTCCTTAGAGCGTCCACGGCTTGATTTCCTGCGCGTTGGCGCGGGTGACGGGGACCTTGGTTTGTCTGGGCCCTTAGGGGCCGGGGCTGCGTTTTCACCACCTGAGGGAGTAGGGCTCGGTTCCCTATGCAAGAAACGACACTTATCTCCCCTAGTGCACTTTCCCTTCTTCCAAAACGTGCAGACCTGTTTCTTCTTCGGGGCAGTGCGAACAGGGGATTGCGAACGGGGTTTGTGCGAAAACTTGCACTTGTCACCCCTGGTGCACTTACCCTTTTGAAAGTCGTAGCAAACTGGCTTTGGGCTTTGTGATCGGCTAGGTGATCTAGATCTGGATGGGGTCCTAGAGCGAGACCTGGACTTTGAATTAGACTGGCTACCGGCAGAGCGGTCCCTTCCGCGGCCACTCCTCGACGGAGGGCGTGTCGGCCTTCCGCCTTCAACAACAGGAGCACCAAACTTGTCCCCATGAGACTTGGCGATTCTATCCCTGTTCTTGCGCATCCTTTCACGGGTCAACAAATCCCGGATTGACTTCAACAAGAACGCATAGGAGTGTGAGGCAGAACCCTCTTTCGCCCTGTCGTAGATTTCCAAATCATACTTCATTCTTGAGGACTTTCGGATTTGCCGAAGAAGGATGTCACGCAGAACCATTTCTTCTGGGACATGACTCATGCCAGCAATGACTGATTCCCAATTGTGCAGAAATGTGGTTAGATCGTCACTATGCAGCGTAACCTTCAAAAGGTCTTCTACCGAATAGAGCGATCCTACCTCTTCATTTGTTTTGAAGTACTGGTCAAACATGAGCAAGACCTGGCGTCCTCGTACGGCACGTCCTTGAACCGCCTCGGTTTCCTTGAAAGTGAGTACCTGCCGAGATAACTCACCTTTGGCGACCTTAGTGAGAGCGGCTAGGATTTTGGTATCCAGCGTGAGAAACTTACCGGGTTCACGAAGCTTTTCATGATCAGCATTCTTAGAATACACCTCTAGAATCCAAGAGAAGGCTTCATCTGGTCTATCTGAAGCTGCCCTAACTGCCTCCCGTGTTGCGGTTTTCCATGCACGGTAGGTTTCGGGGTTAGGGAAATCCGGCAGGCGGATGGTTTCAGCTTCTTTATCCTTTGGTTTGTCATCTTCACCGCTTTTGTCTCCTTTAAGAAGCTTGGCGGCTTCAAGCAGCGCTTGCTGCGTCTGTGCGATTAAATCGGCTCCAGTAGCTGCCGGACCTCCCGGCGTGCCTGTTGGGGCCGCAAGACCAGGGGCTCCGGCGTTCAAACCACCACTAGAGGATCCTAGATTTGGGACGTTAGCTGATGCTGTTGGGGTCCCTGGGGCAGAAACCGGACCCTGTGGTCCCGTTGGAGTGGCAGTAGTTGCCACACCGCCAAAACTGAAGTTTGGAAACAATGCCCTGATGTTCATCGGAATCACACTCGGATCTGAAAACTGAGGGGCACACGGAGCACTAAGCCCGGCGCTTGGCGCTGGAGCAACTGGGGCAGTGGCGCTGGGAAACTGAGCTTGCTGCGAGGGATTGATACCTAAATTCCTGTCCTGTTCGAGCTGGAGCGCGCGCTCCATTGATGACAATTCATCTTGGAGGGTCATGTTTTGAATCCTCATTTGCTCTTCAGTTTCCAGGGCTATACTGCGGTACCTTTTCATTGCCTCATCATGCTCTCTCCCAAACCATTCCCCAATCTCGTTAATGCTTTCCCTCTTGTTTTGTTCAGCCTCTTCAACCAGAGTTGTCCTGAGACGAGTGATTTGCGAACCAACATCGGAAAAATGTTCTGACTGAAAATTGATTATCTGGTTTTGTTGCTGGAGTTCTGAAAAGAGACCTTGGGTCCTCGCGACAAAGCTATACCTTTGGCTAGCAATTTCAGACTCAAGTCTAGCAACGACTTCCTCGTGCTGCCTGTTAGCCCTTTCTTCAACATCTGCGATTTGTTGATCGTGGGCTTCTTCAGCAGCTAGGCGGAACCTCTGGTGCCTGGACTCTGCTTCGTTCTCTAACTCAGTGAGGAGAAGTCTTGTTTGTTCAGGTGTTTCACCTATCGTGATGTTCTGCTGAAACTGTTGTCGGTACATGTGGATCTGCGGAGCTCCTAGTCCTACGAAAGGAGAAGGTGCGTTTGGCGCAAACACATTAGCTGCTGCTGCATTCTCTTCCAGCACTAGGCCACGGCCATCCGTAGACGGTGGCATAGCCAAAGTGCCTGAGAGGTCCATCTCCGCGGATTCTGCGTCTGTAAATCCGTCTGTACCGAGATCAGTTGCTACCTCGGTGGGGACCAGCTCGGGGCTGTCACCCATGCACTGAGTCGAAACTCCAGGTCAGTGGTGCCGCAAGCTCCGGGGAGCCTACGGCTGATAACCTATAGTTTGGGAAATCCACCAGTTGTTATCCGTTAAGCCATGAGCAGGGGCGCGCCTAACCTTTTACTCAGAGGGCTTGAGCGTCACAGGTAAGTGCAACATACATGGAAGCAAAAGTGGAGGGAATGCACAGATATAAAATACAATTTCAGCTAGGATGCCCAATAGTTGTATTGTTCGTCCTGTAGGTTTGGGTGACACACATACATATGGATATGGGTATGGATATGTATATGTAGACTAAACCCTAAACACTGTAAGCCCTATCTTGTTCCTCATCCTTGTGAAATCCGAGTTGACCAGGTCCTATACTTCCCCTACAATCAGTCCCATATAGCCGCATTGATGCCTGATTTGGGAGAGAGGGAGAGAGGGAACATGCAACACCTGTGACTGTGAGGCTCTGGGCATTGAAATGGCTCAGGTCTTGTGCAGCCAAGGCACAGCCCAGAACAACCGGACTTCTCCTCCGTGCCCTTCTCGTGGGTCTCGTTGGCAGGCCCTATTGTTGCTGTCGCCTTGGTTGACATCATTGTCCTGCTATTCTTGATGGCTGTAGTGGAAAAATGCGTGTAGTCGTAGGTGCTATAACTTAGGTTTGGAGGTGCCCCCTTCACCCTTCCTTGTTCAGTCTTTCAATGTCTAAACACGTTTCACGGACCCCACGTCATGATTTGTAACCCCACTCCCCCTTGCCCGCGCTTTTCCCCCGGCCTCCTCACCCTGTGTTGCTTTGAAGTCTTGTTATGGGTGTTGTAAAGCGTTCCAAAAGCAAGAGGGGGCGCAGCACGACCCAGGCATACTTCAGATGATGACACCGTAGATTCGGTGATTGAACAGTGAGTTGCTTGAGCCTGCCTACTTCCACTGTGCATCGCGGAGGCGCGAGCATCCTCGACCATTCGTTTCTCCCAATGGTTTTTCAAGCATCAACTGGAGCCATCCCGTTCCTAAACAGATGAGAGTTGAGGAACTGCTCAAGGCTTTGATGCTGCGGGTGTTGGGGGTACACTTCTTGCCTGCCCTGCAACGCATGCCGTCTGATCGACTAGACCTTAAATCAGCTGTGCTGCGGTCGTGGGTTGTGGAGTTGTCACGATCTTCTCAGGCGAGAGAGGGCTGGACGACTCGCTGGGCGGCGGGAGGGGCTGCTTGCCTGCGACTGCATTGTCAAGAGACATAACTTGCACAACAACTGCGAGGACAGAGTCGACAGATCGAGCAGGCATGCGCCACCAGAAAGCCCATTTTGCACAAAGCCTGAGCAATGAGGAGGTGCATGCTAGCTCGATAGACTCGACCTTTTGACAGCACCCCACGATCCAAAAGACACAGACATAAGGCACCCTGAAGCCGCGACAACGCAAAGTCACCAAGCTGTGAAGCCAGGTGCCCAGATCTTGCACATCCTCAGTCTCGACTATTCTGAACCGAAGGGCGAATTACACCTCAACTCCCTGTGAGGTCGAAGGACGTCTTCCGGCTGTCATTTGTCCAAAGGACGCAATGTCTATGCAAGTCAGAAATCATTCATGAGTCTTGAGAAGACCTTACACAACTCACGGTGCCTCCGATGCTGTGGGAAGTCGCCGCCTGTGGCTGCAGCAATGAAGGGCCTTGGGGCGGCTGCGGTGTCTCGCATGCCTCCTCGGAGCATTTGGGGCTTGCCAAGTAGGTTGGGAAAAGGCTTGAAGGCTTAGGGCCTGGAGTTTCGACTCGCCACTCAGGCAAGCCGAGAGTTCAGGTTGAGAGTATGTCGAATTGGTCGCAAGCCCCTTAAAAGCAAGATGATATTTGCACGTGCTTTCAGCAGTGCTTTCGCAACCTCGGAGGAAGCGACGACCAAGGCCGCCAGTGCTGACACCACCACTGCAAAGGCGCGGAGCATCCTCGGTGGTTTCGCAAGCATCATGAGGGCCAAGAGTGGTGCAATGCGTAGAAGGCTCTGTTGGGGCTAGCGCTCAGGCATTCGGAGTTCCAAGTAAGGAAATTGATCGATGGGTTGATTCATCCAAAATCTTAGCTAACTTGCGGCGATGATTGGAAACCCGAGAGAATCGATGAACTGACCATGGAGAAGCCGGAATCAGCACACATCCTTGAACTCCGAGGGCCGAACCTTGACTTAACTCACATCTGCCCCCTCCCCCACGAGCCAAGACTCTGTGTGCTGCACTCAGCAGGTGCTGAGTACTCGGTACCAAGAACTGAAGGTGGAATATTCGCTTCAGAATGCCGCGGATGGAGTGAAGTGAGTCAAGGTGGGCGACGGAGTAGGGTTCTGGTTCATCAAGTCTTCACTAGCCGGCACATACAGTTTCTTTACGTTCGCATTCCACACGCATCCGATGCCAGCAACGTTTCTCGTCAAAGTGGTCGATCCAACCCGTCGCTGAAAAACCTTGATACTCTATATACACTTCAAACCTTTGGTGTCACCACTGCTAGGTGTTGGTTTCGGTCAGCCTACAATCTCGCCCTCGAACAACTACAAGTCCTTCCCTGGAAAGCATTCCAGGCCCGCTGTACTTTTTCTCTGCCCTTTTGCACTGCACTGCAAGATCTGCAAAAGCAGACACCTGGCAAACCAGCGTTAAGTTCAACAAGACCAGGCACTTGCTGTGGCAAGTCTCATGCATGAGTGGGCTCAACTGGGCCCAGTGCTTTCCCAGGCAAAGAACCTAACTAACTAGCACACCGTGAGCCATCGACTCAGTAGTGGTTTGCAAGTTACACATGTTATGTTGGAATTGTTGCACCCAAAGGCACTTGTTCCATTTCCATGATCTTCAGGAAGTAGTCACACAGGATCAGGCAAACATGGAAGAGGTCTCCCCATCTCCCTGTCTCCCTGTCTCTCTTCTGTCTCCCTGTCTGCTGTCTCTATGTCTCTCTGTCTCCCCGTCTCCCCGTCTCCCTGTCTCCTTGTCTCCCTGTCTCGCTGTCTCTCTGTCTCTCTGTCTCGCTGTCTCTCTGTCTCCCTCTTCTTCCTCTTCTTCTTCTTCTTCTTCTTCTTCTTCTTCTTCTGCTGCAGGGCATGGGGGCC